TGCTAAGTGACGATCGCACCGATACAGACCTAACCGAAAGTGTCTTTGTGCCTTCTCACTCTCACCTGAGTTTCTCCCTCTGCAGTTTGATCGAGGCCAGGGTAGTGGAGGCATGAAGAGAACCTGTCTGTGCTTCACCAGCACATCTGGGATCGTCACCCCTAGAAGGTGTCAATCTGCTTCCCTCCTCCAGGGAGCACCAGTTGTTTCCATCCACAAATCTGCCAAATCTACACTGACTGAACTAGCTTCTTACCTGCGTGATAGGGAAATATGCCAAAGCCCAAGGCAGCTCACAGCTTCTTTCACTGCCATGGAGAACAACCCCCTACCTCCTTAAAATACAAATCCACAGTCCCTTAAGCCCAGATGTGCTTTGGAATTCAATCTAAGATTTCAGAAAAGTTATACCATGTATGTCCTGTATACTCTGTAAGCCCTTATCACAGAATCTGGAGCAGGAAATGGTAATCAGACATGTTCATACTTTTGCTGTGATAATGTGTGAATAATCAGCTAAGTGGAATATAAGACTCTAAATATTCTCATAGCAATTAAGGTTGGTTTTTGCTACCAAATGAACCACCAAAATCTTAAGGTGTTTGGGTCTGGATGGTGCAGATAAAGTCTTGTGGATTTAATTTGAACAAAAATGTTCATTTGTTATGTCCATTTTTCTTTCTGTTGACATCATTGTTGCTTGTTATCTTGTTTGTTTTGTGCTGCTATAACAAAGTACCACGGACTATGTAATTACATAGAACAGAAATTTATTTCCTCACAGTTCTGGAGGCTGTGAAGTCCAAGATCATGGCACTAGTATCTGGTGAGGGGCTTCTTGCTGCATCATAATTTGGTGAAAGGGCAAAGAGGATGAGAGAGAGACAAAAAGGGGTCAAATTCATTATTTTATAATAAACAGGAGAATATGGGCTGGAAGCAGGGAACCTAACGCTGACTTACACTAATCTAGAACCAAATTAAAAGAAAAATGCCAACTTAAGGACTAAGTAACAAAAGGACTAGAGGCTACTCCCTTTGTGACTGCCCCCACGTTTTTCTGCATGGCAGATGAAAAATTGAAAGTGCCTTTAATTGGTCCCCTCCTACAACCAGTTATGCTCCTCATAGGCCAAGTCTTCCTTTGCATAGTAGTGTAACTTTGTAACTTCACTTCCGCCTTTCCACAATCAATCAGAAGTTTGCGTAGGGCGTAACTTTCTAATTTCACTTCAGGGGCTGATGTCCCCACTCTCAACCAATCAGACTGATTTTGGGCCACTACTTTATTTACACTGGATGTACACCAAATAACCAATGGGAAACCTCTACAAGATATTTAAACCCCAGAAAATTCTCTAACCAAGTTCTTGAGCCTCTTGCTCAGGCCACTCCCACCCTGTAGAGTGTACCTTCATTTTCAGTAAATCTCTGCTTTTGTTACTTCATTCTTTCCTTGCTATGTTCATGCATTTTGTTCAATTCTTTCTTCAGGACACCAAGAACCTGGACATACTCCATGGGTAATAAACCCACTCCCAAGATAACGGCATTAATCCATTCATGAGGGCCTAATCACCTCCCACCTCCTGCCACTCAACACCATCACATTGGAGATAAGTCTCTAAGACATGAACTTTGGTGGACACATTCAAACCATAGCACTTGTCTTACAGGCAGAAGCTCTGACATTTCCGAGAGAACAATAACTTCATCCCAACCTGGAGAAGTCTCAGGTTGTGACAAGATATCCTTTCTCTTCAGGAGTCCATTCTGCAGCCTTCACCCCTCCTTTGAATTCATCCTGGATCTTCTTTTCAATCTTTTCTCTTTTCCACAGTGCAGGTCTCCCTGCTTCTTTACTCTAACTTCACTACTGTGTTTACATCAGAAAAAGTGAATTTGCATAAATAGGGGCTCTCCAGGTCTCCTAATTTTCAATCTTTTCCCCCCTTACTTCGGTAACATCTCTGCTTATTTTTCCTTCGGACCAGGCCCTCAGGTGACTTTCTGGCTCCTAGTACCTCTGCCCTCAATCTCCATATTCTGGAGGAGTTTGGCCATCAGTCTTATGGTTCTTCTACTCTCTTCTCTTTGGGGAACATGTCTTTTTTTTCTTCTTCATCTGGGGATACTCCTAGTTAATCAGCTTCCTGTTGTCGGGTTCCTTTACCCACTTGGCCACCAGTCCCAGGTGGAAGCCCTGGGAGGTCTGGGAGCACTTTTCAAATTTTAGTCGACCTGAGGAGAAGCTACCCTTACCTGAAACCAGGTTGTACAGGCCAAAGACGCAGGTCTCTGTGTTCTGGAATCAGATCAGCTCAGTGAGGTGAACACGCTCCTGGTAAAGAAGACTATGAGGAGTCATCTCCGGTGGTGAGAAGGTTAAGGAATCAGGATTCTGCTTCCTGTTGTAGTGTATGGAAACCTGTTTCAGCTTGATGGGCCAGGGAAGCCTCAGAAGAAGTAACTAACCCTGGAGTAGAGACTGGGTTCTGAGGTAGGAGCCAGCCTAATTGGTCTGAGAAATGGGACACAGGGAGGAGAAGCCAAGGGAAAGGCTTTGGGTTTTATTCTAGGTGTAATGGAATCCCTGATAGGTTTTAAAGAGGAGAGGATGTGACTTGTGTGTATGTGTGTGTGTATATAAATATGTATATATACGTGTATATATATATGTATATATGTGTGTATATAAATGTATATATAATTGTGTATGTACATATATATATATATTTAATTGTATTTTTTTGGAGACAGAGTCTCACTCTGTTGCCCAGGCTGAAGTGCAGTGGCACAATCTCGGTTCACTGAATGAAACCTCCACTTCCAGGGTTCAATTGATTCTCCTGCTTTAGCCTCGTGAGTAGCTGAGACATGCCTGGCTAAGCAAGGCTGTATATTTTAATTGGGAAGTTTAAACTCTTTTTTTTTTTTTTTTGAGATGGAGTTTCGCTCGTTACCCAGGCTGGAGTGCAATGGAGCGATCTCGGCTCACCGCAACCTCCGCCTCCTGGGTTCAGGCAATTCTCCTGCCTCAGCCTCCTGAGTAGCTGGGATTACAGGCACGCGCCACCATGCCCAGCTAATTTTTTGTATTTTTAGTAGAGACAGGGTTTCACCATGTTGACCAGGTTGGTCTCGATCTCTTGACCTTGTGATCCACCCGCCTCAGCCTCCCAAAGTGCTGGGATTACAGGCTTTAGCCACTGCGCCCGGCCTGGGACGTTTAAACTCTTTACATTCAAGGTTGTTATTGATGAGTGAGGACTTATTCCTATCATGTTGTCAATTGGTTTCTGATTGTTTTATATGTCATTTGTTTCTGTTTTCCTCTTGAAAAAAATTTTTTTTTTTAATTTGCTTTCTATTCTTTTCTTTTCCTTTTTATAGTAAGAGACAGAGTCTCACTACATTGCCTTGGCTAGTCTCAAAATCTTGACTTTAAGCAATTCTCTCACCTCAGCCTTCCAAAGTGGGGGATTACAGGGATGAGTCACCATGCCTGGTCCCTTTCTTCTCTTATCTTTTGAGATTTGGTGGTTTTCTGCGATGATAATGCTTGATTTCTTTCTCATTTGTGTATCTAGTCTATCAGTGACTTTTATACTTTTGGATGCTTTTTTTTTTTTTTTTTTTTTTTGAGGCGGAGTTTCGCTCTCGTTACCCAGGCTGGAGTGCAATGGCGTGATCTCGGCTCACCGCAACCTCCGCCTCCTGGGTTCAGGCAATTCTCCTGCCTCAGCCTCCTAAGTAGCTGGGATTACAGGCACGAGCCACCATGCCCAGCTAATTTTTTGTATTTTTAGTAGAGACGGGGTTTCACCATGTTGACCAGGATGGTCTCGATCTCTCGACCTCGTGATCCACCCGCCTCGGCCTCCCAAAGTGCTGGGATTACAGGCTTGAGCCACCGCGCCCGGCCTTTGGATGCTTTCTTTCTATAATTCCCTTTTCCTCCTACCATATCTTGCATATGGCAAGGTCTCAATCAATGCTTTGATACCACTTAACATAACTGGAAAGTGATTGTGATAATTGGCTAGCTGCAAGTCTTTCTCAGAAGACCAGCCCTTTGAGCCATTGTGGGTGGGCTAGGGGGTAGCAGGGTTGAGAGGCCAGCTACAAATGGCTCTGCTGTTGCCCTCCAACATGGAGCCCAGCTGAGCATCTGCCTTCAAGAGGAGATCTGATGCAGGTAGCTGGATACCAGCAAACACACCTGTCTGGGGGCATGGGAGAAGATGAGAAGGATGGGAAGGAAGTAGATGTTTTATTTATTTATTTATTTAAGATGGGACTTCACCGTATTGTTCAGGCTGGTCTTGAACTCCCAACCTCAGGTGATCTGCCTGCCTTGGCCTCCAAAGTGCTTGGATTACAGGTGTGAGCCACCACGCCCGGCCCAGTATATGTATTTTTAAAGAAATCATTGACTTCTGATGGGTGGTTGGCAGATTTTTTGTTTTTTTAAGATGGGGTTTCACCATGTTGGCCAGGCTGGTCTTGAACTCCTGACCTCAGGTGATCCACCCATTTTGGCCTCCCAAAGTGCTAGGATTACAGGTGTAAGCCACTGCGCCTGGCATGCAGATTTTTTTTTTTAACAGCTTTTTTGTTTTTTGTTTTTGTTTTGGTTTTGTTTTTTTGGGTTTTTTTTTTTTTTTTTTTTTTTTTTTTGAGACAGTTTCACTCTTGTTGCCCAGGCTGGAATGCAATGGTGCGATCTCGGCTCACTGCAACCTCCGCCTCCTGGGTTCAGGCAATTCTCCTGCCTCAGCCTCCTGAGTAGCTGGGATTACAGGCACACGCCACCATGCCCAGCTAATTTTTTGTATTTTTAGTAGAGACGGGGTTTCACCACGTTGACCAGGATGGTCTCGATCTCTTGACCTTGTGATCCACCCGCCTCGGCCTCCCAAAGTGCTGGGATTACAGGCTTGAGCCACCACGCCCAGCTGTTTTTTGTTTTGTTTTGTTTTGTTTTGTTTTGTTTTTTCAGAAAGTTTCTCTGTCACCAGGCAAAGACCAGGAGGGTGGGAACAGGAAAACCAGAAAACAGGTCAAGGGAGAACAAGTCCCTTTTCTTCTCACCAGTGAACAGCAGGTGAGGGAGCAGCCTCTAGGAGGAATGCTACTCAGGATGGGCTTGCTGCCTGCATGGCATGAGGGTGCTGTCTTGCAGGTGCTGGCAGCCACAATCTCCATTATGGCTAGATTCAATACAGGTCCAGACCTTTCCTGACACTGCTGGAGAGGAAATGTGTGTCACGGTCTGAAGAGACAGCCATGGGGAATGGAAGCATGGGAAGAAGGGGTGGGGAGGGGAGGAGAGATAAGTGGTTCTATGCTAATCTTAGGGTTCCTTCTCTACACTTTTGGGTACCAGGGACAAACCCTATCAAAGGAATTCTGCAGACAGTCTTGGAAGCACCTTCTCTGACACTTAAGGCTTTTTCCTGAATTTCAGAGACAGAAACCTACCCATCCTTGAGCAACTGCAGTGAGGCAGTGTGGAATTCTGTGCTGATATACTGCTCAGCTGTGAGCTACCAGGTCGGTTGGAAATTTGCATTGACATTTTAATCCCTTATCCTAAGATTTTGGCTCATTGCTATGTTCTTGGAACTCCTGGATCTTTCTGGATTCTGATAGTGGATCAAAATCTCAGCTTCATTCAGCAAACCCAGAAGCTTCTGGGGGAGAGTTAACGGTCATTTGTTCATCATGGATCAACTGTTTAAGAACAAGCACCTTTCTGATCTCTGTGGTACACACAGAAAAAAACACATTACTCTGCAGTTGGCTTCTCAGATCTTCTATCTAGTTGCCAACCTGGGACTCTCCTTGGAAGCATGGCTTCTGCACACATTGGTTACAGTGGCTTACATTGACTGTACCACAGTGGCTCCTAAAACAAGGTTTTTGACCTCAGGAGCCTGTTCTTCAGGCTGATCTGAGCCCCTTGAAGGTATGGCAAGCAGGTGACATTACTGCCCAGGAGATTTGCTGAGAGCTCTGGAAGGTACAAAGCACCTCAGGCTTCAATGGGTGTGTGAATCTTTACCACAAATCCCAAAGGGCTGATTTGACTTTCTCTATTACATATATCCAACAGAGACAGCAGGCTTGGGAAATTTTGACTGGACTCAGAAAATTCACCAGTTTCTTGGGAGTCATAACCTATTACGCTTGAAAGACCAGAGCATGGTTATTCCCCAACACCAATTTGGGCCTGAATTTTCCCATCTGACCTGTCTGTAACAAGTGAATCAGTCCCACCTTCCTTGATCACATGAGTAAAGTGTTCTGTGATGCTTGGCTGCAGGTGCACTGTGACAACTGTCTTCATGAAGCACATGATCTCAGGCTCCAGATGGCATTGCTGCTCAGTACAGCCGTATGCTGACAGCCCTCCTAGAGGACACCGTGGAAACAGCATTCTCCCTAACTATTAAGATTTATTGTTTTGTTTAAGCAAAGACCAAAGCAGCAGCGAAGATACAAGAATTAAAAAGGCAATCCTTGCTGGACGCAGTGGCTCATGCCTATAATCCCAGCACTTTGGTAGGCCAATGCAGGCAGGCTTGAGGCCCGGAGCCTGGCCAACATGGTGAAACCCCGTCTCTACTAAAAATACAAAAATTAGCCCAGCGTGGTGGCACACGCCTGTAATTTCAGCTACTTGGAAGGCTGAGGCAACCCGGGAGGTGGAACAGTAAGCCAAGATCACACCACTGCACTCCAGCCTGGGAGACAGAGAAAGACTCTATCTCAAAGAAAAAAAAAAAAAGGCAATCCTTTTTGGTGAGATGGAGCCACACCCATAGGACCCCAAAAGTGGCCTTATAGTAACAGGAGGATCCTAAATGTGGACCCTCCCAAAGGGAATGCTGCCCAAGTTCAAAGTGCTTCTTCCTTTGCTAAGAAAGTGATTATGCTAATAACCTCAGTATCCTTAGTGGGAGAGTATCTGGCAATAAAGTTGTAGCCACAACTTGGAAGTTTCTGGAGGAAATCAACCTCCCATAGCCACCTTTGGCTGACTGCAGGTGTTAGGTCTGCAGAATTCCTTTCAATCAGCCTGCAAAGGCCCCATCTGGCCATTTGGTCACAGTTTTACTGCTTCTTCACCTCTTGTTGTTATTCAAGCATCACCTTCTGGGGGGTAGACCAGCTTTATACGCAACCTAGAAAAATCAGGTCGAATTTGGCTTTAGAGATCTGAAGCTCCTCAATTTTCTTCCCTCTTTGGAAGTTTTATTAGAATAATCCCCACCCTTTTCTGTCCTCTTCCTAGCTAACCTAATCTCAAGGCTCACAGCTTTAAGGGCACACCTTAAAGTGGGCTGCATCAGAAAGCCAAGACAGAAAGCCAGTGACCCAACAGGCAATTCTAATTCAAGGCTCCAAATAACTGTTAAAGTGTGTATCTTCTGTTCTACCTAGAAGAAAAAGAGACTGAAATGTCAATTATCATTTAGAATTATGAGTGAATTTTTATTTACATTTAAGAGTCTCCCTCCTTGTGTTCTAGTCTGTGAATGGCTCACACTTGGACTTAGTGTAGGCTCCTAGTGGGAGGGGCGGGGGTAGTGAGAATCCTCATCAAATGGAGTAACATAACCCAAATCTCTAGAGGTTTCATAATTTTTCTCTTGCTTCTAAAAACATAGTCATCTCTTACGGGATGTTATGTGCTTTGTATCCTGAAATTTTCCACTTGCTGCGTCTTGGTGTGAGGGAAGAAATGCCAGCACATGGCACTGCAGGAGGAGACTGGTGGAAGCCTCAGGGCTAGGCCTTCACTTCCCAGTGACGCTGTCCCCAGTTCCCTCCAGGATGAGTGGAGACTCCTCAGGTTTTGCAGCAGATGGGTGTGAGGAAAGCCTGCTCTGCCTTGGGCACCCGGGATGGCACTGAGTTCTAAAAGGCAAAGGGTATGTGGTAAGGGGCCAGGCTGAAGCCCTGGTATGGTACCATCATGGGCAGCAGCACCATTTGAGGCCAGGTAGGAGAGACGTGCAGGGTCTGGCCCCCCAAGAGACCAGCAGATAAACTAGGGTGGCAGAGACAGAGAGATTCCAGTGTAACCAGGAAGGCTGCAGATCATAACAACAATGGCTGCTGATTTGGCCGCAAAGAGGTGGCACTGTCAAAGCCATAACCGCTGAGAATGGCACCAACATGCTGCAGCTGGAGAGAGTGGAGACCAACATTTGTTTGAAGAACAGATGACACTCTTTGAATGGCTCAACCAATAGCCCAAAGTTTTAAGGGAAGACCTCTCTGCTAGCTTCTCTTGGACAATGTCTCCCGTAAAATCTCCGAGGCACTTACATAGCATATTTTTGTGTCCACTCTCTTGCTAGTCTGTTGTACCTGGAAGAAAAAAGCAGAGGGAGTGACACCCTCACTTGAAATGGTCACCTCCCTTCACTATGGTGCAGAGAACAGGACTGATGTGGGGAATGCTGCTGCTGCTGCTGTTGTCAAACATCTCGGGCTGATGGGTGAGGTGAATAAAGGCTTTTCCCAGACCAGGAGCATATCAGACATGGCTGTAACCCCCAGCTTGGGGAACCCCTCATGTGCAAACTCCAAACTGTTGATTCTCCATAACTATCTGCTGTGGAAGATTTAATCATGTAACAGACTGCCTCCCTCTCTCTCTCCTGTCCTAGAATATGGATGCAGGGAGGACAGAGAAGAGACACACAAAGGTCAGTCTGTACTAGTTACAGGCCGTCCCGCACACAAACTCCAGAACAAGGACTAGGGAACCTGCCCAGAGTGTGAACTAGCACCATCCTCAGCAGCTGTTCTGCCCCTCTGTGTGCTGGATTTTTTTTGATTTCTTGCCATGGGGAGAGTATCTGCCTTGTGTGCTTGTGGGGAAGACTAGACAAGCCTGTATGTAGAGCATGTGGAGCAGGCTGGGCATCCACTGAGGGCTATGCAGGTATGTGCTCTTACTCTCATCATTGTAATGAGATTTGATGCCATGAGACTATAAATTAGAGAGATTTATAGTTACAAGAGGCACTAAAAAAAAAAATCACTTTGGTATGTCTAAAATATCTCATAATGTGTTAAAATAAACAAGTATTAAGTTAAACCTCAGTCAATTAAAAAGGTTGAATGTTATTGAAGAAACTCCAGTGAGGGAAATAATAAGATCTATAAAGGTCTTAAGAAAAATAGAATTTGAAAAAATGATGTGGCTGAATGAGTACAGTGGCTCACAGCTGTAACTGCAGCACTTTGGGAGGCCTAGGTGGGCAGACTGCTTGAGCCCAGGAGTTCAAGACCAGCCTGGACAACATGGCAAAACCCTGTCTCTACAAACAATTAGCCAGGTGTGGCGGCACATGCCTATAGGCCCAGCCTCTCAGGAGGCTGAGACAGGAAGATAGGTCGAGCCTGGGAGGTGGCAGCTGCAGTAAGCCATGATCGCACCACTGCCCTCCAGCCTGGGCAACAGAATGAGACCTTGCCTCAAAAAAAAAAAAAAAAAAAAAAGGGGGGGGGGAACATACTTCATTCCAATCTCTTCAGACAGAAAAGAAGTAATGAATAATGAGCTGAAGAACTCACTCACTGAAGATGCCTTTTAAAAGGGCCAGCAAGGCCTTCCTTGTAGGCCCACAACTGAGATTCACACCACTCACGGGGCGGCGGCCCCTGCCACACCTGGCCCTTTCTCAGAGTGCTGTCAGCACTCAGAGACTAACACACGGCGATGACTCCTCGTGCCTGCCCTACCAACTGCAGACATCCTCACGCTACAGTGCATGTGGTTGTGACTGGCCTACGGGGAATCAGAATTTTACAGTTCTGGATTTGTTTGTTGGTGTTTCAACAGAGAGCTGGCAGTGAAGTTCTGCTGGTGAAACGGCAACACACTGCTGACCTCTGAGCCTGAGCCAGCGAAATGAACACAGCAGTGTTTCCCACCTTGACTGCCCTCAGCCTCACCTTGGGTAGAGCCAAGCAGACATCCCCTTGTCTTAGGCTATAAACCTTAGAATTAAAATCAGAATTTTCTTGTCAGATTCTTCTGAGTCCATTCTTGGCTGACCACTGATTTTGCTGGCCTCAAGGGCAGGGCTTGGCAATGCTTTCGTAAGTAGTAGCAGCAGCTAATGAGTTATCCAGGAGGATGAACTGCTTTTATCTCCTTCTCCCTTCTTAGACTCAAAGGACATGTTAGTGAGAGAGCCAGGAGTCCAAGCCCAGGGCACACCTGCTGTGCGCATGGCTCAGCATGGGCAGGAAGATGTCCACGGGAACCTGTAGCCCAGAAGCACCAGCTCAGAGCACAGGTACTGCATGGAGCTGCCTGGGACAGCCATGGTGCAAAGGCAACCCAAAGAGGACGCGTACTTCTCTCTGTCGGCCTTGTAGGTGTGAGCTATCTCTGGTACCAGAGGGTCATCGGGGTTGGGGTCGCAGAGCAGTGAGCAGATGGACAAGAGAACTGGGAAGAAAAGGAAAGGTTGGTCAGCTGCAGCCATGAGGTGGCTAGGTCACCCCAGGGTGAACCTCCCTTGAACTCACATTCTATATTGACCAAGCAGTTGTCTTCCCTTCAACAGCCCAATCTAAATTGCTTCATGCACTACTTGCTCTGTCCCAAGGATCAGCCGAGGCAGTCCTCACTGTGTGGCCTCAGACACGCTATGCTAGGACACTTCCATCGTGGGTGCATCCTGGCTGTCATTCCCCTTCTCCACTGAAGCACCCCATCTTAATCTCAACTGCCCTCCCATCCTTGTGTGCACCCCACAGCATGCATCTCTGGTGTTTAGTCCCAAGAGTCCTGTTTATTGGCAAGGAAACAAGAGTTCAGAGCATTCAAGTAACTTGTCCAAGGTTACAGACTTGGAACATCCAATAAATGGGCAAAAATGAGATTCTGAACCAGGTCTAACTGTAAAGCAGATGCCAGCACCGTCTCTAGGACGTGCACTCAGCGTGGCTCTCAGTAACTCTAGGGGAAGGGAATCACCCACTAGGGCTGTGGTGCGGAGCAGAACTGTGGTGCCTGGATTCTTGGGGTCCCAGACGGAAATGTGGACTTTCATCCCTGGCTTTGCTTTCAATTCACCATATGATTCCAAACAAACTGGATTCAGTGAGTCCATCAAAGTCCTGACCACAGTTCCCCACATGTAAAGCTACAAATGACAGGGGCAGGTTTGCCTTTCTTAAGATACTTGGCTGGGCACTGTGGCTCACACCTATAATCCCAGTGCTTTGGGAAGCCAAGGTAGAAGGATTGCTTGAGACTAAAAGTTTGAGACTGGCCTGGGCAAAAAAGACCCTGTCTCTACAGAAAAATTCAAAAATTAGGCTGGGCTCTGTTTTTTGTGGGGAATTGATTTTTCACCATCCTACCCACAATCCACCTGGCAGGATACTGCACCGTCCACATTCAGGTCTCCTGTGCACACACAGCCCATGCTCAGCCCGTCTTAGTTCAGAAGCAGTATCTGCATTTCTAAGCTCAGTTTAGACTGGTTTCTTCAACTTCAACCACAGACATGGTTTATTATGCTCAACATCATTTATTTTGTGAAGGGAGGATTTCTCCACCAACTTCGAGGCCCTGGGAGCATGCCCTGTATCTCTTCCTTCAGGGCTGACTCACAGTCCGTGTTGTGCTTATTGGATGAATAAATGAGGGAACAGAAAATGTAATGTAATATTTGCCTTTCTTATTTTTAGATAAAAAAACCTAAGTAGAATCAATATTTTCTTTTTGCACCCATGTGACAGTCTTGAGCACCCCTTGGCAATTGACTGCTGAGAAGCGCCTTGGCACAAGGCACAAGGTTCTGCTGGTGCTGCCTCCTGGGGGGTGCAAGGATATCCACTTATGGGCACAACTGTGGACAGGGCTGTGTGGCCTGGGAAAAGTGCCTGCTCTCTCTGAGCCTCTGTTTCCACTCAGACAGTGCTGGGGTAAAAACACGTGTAAGAGACAGGCACGCAGAGCATCCCAACAGCGTCTCTACCTTTTGACACAGTCAATGCTGGAGACCACTGAGACCGCAGGATATCGAGGCAGATGTTGCCATTGCTGTTGATATTAGGGTGATAAATTTTGGTTGTGAAAGCGACCTGAAAAGACAGGATATCCCAAATCAGACAAACACAGGGACACCTGGGAAATGAACCACATAAAGCAGAAGCAGCTGCTGCTGGGATGTACCTACAGAGTGCTGCATATCTGGCCCCACAGTGCAGGCTGAGCCAGACCTGCACTCTCAAACTCTAATGGGATATGGAAGTGAGTGATCACCCAGAAGTTCCTTGACCCATTCACTCCTGGATCATCACTCTGAACATATGGGGATTGATACCATCTCCGAGAAAGCAGTATGCTCTGAGGGAGTAACAGGGTGGTGGAAAGGACTCAAAAGCCCAGAATTTTTATGCAAAAAGCAATGATGTTTTGTTGACACAAGACACATCATCAGGAGGAAAGCCCTGGCTGTGAACCCTCTGCCAGGCCACAAACCCTCCCCAACTTTCTATTTCACCCTTTGTAAGGCCCCCATCTTCTCAGAATTGAGCTCTAAAATACCCTTGTACATTTCAAATATGTAAGGATACCCACTGTAACAAAAGATATGAAACCCATATGTCTTCAGATTGATGACTGGTTAAATCAATGTTATATATAAGCAACAGAATATTACACAACTGTTTGAAAAGAATGAGGTGAATTTTTAAAATATGAATGTGATCACATGGAACAATTTCCAAGATGTATTGCTGTGGGAAAAGCAAGATGCAGATTCGTGGAAAGGTCTGTTCCATTCATGGGAGAAACAAGGGAGCACAAACAAGTGCTTACCCAGGTGGAGATTACTCCTGGAGGAGAAATGAAAAGACAAGTAGGACTCAGTGCCTTGTGGAAGGAAAGCGGAGGGCCATGGCTAGAGAGACAAAGTTTGAAGAAGGTCCCATTTTCACTCTGTACTCTCCTACATTTGACCTTTTTTTTTTAAACCACAGCCACACATTACTTCTTCAAATGACCTCCTTAGACCTCAGAGCCTTCACTGTAACTAGGTTCATGGTACCTCTCCCAGGGATGCTGTGAGACCCACGGAGAGTCTGCTCTCTGTGATGTGCAAGGTGCTCTGAGTCAGGTGCAGCTTCTACTGCCACAGGAGCTTAAGAATGTGCCTCACCTACACCCCCACTGGGCAAGCAGTGACCCCACTGCAGGGGCTGGGACAAAGTAATGTAAGGGTTTTGCCTCCTCTGCTAGCTCTGAGAACTCGCTGGTACTTTTTTTTTTTTAAATAGAGATGGGGTTTCACCATGTTGGCCAGGATGGTCTTGAATCCTGACCCTGTGATCCTGCCGCCTCGGCCTCCCAAAGTGCTAGGATTACAGGCATGAGCCACAACGCCCGGCCTCACAGGTACTTTCTATGCTAGATGGAGGAAGCACAAACATCCTTTATATCATTAACATCCTTTATATCATCCTTTATATCATTAAGCACAAACATCTAGAATTTTTTGCATGCTTGATATAGTTAATAGCGTTTTTTAAAAACTTACTTTAGAATATGATAAAAGAGTTGTGTGCATGTGAACTTGAATATCTATTACCAAACAGTTTTTCCCAGGAAGGATCAAACTTCAAAAGGGTCTCAGACATTATCTGCCTCAATATCTCCAATAAAGATCATGCAATCTTGCCAGATTTCTCCTATTTTTTGTGCCAAAACGTAAGTCCAGTTGCTCCTATTTCCCTGTGGAAGGAGATTTTTTAAAGACAGAAGCACTTTCTTTCTCAGAGAGTGTCACTATTACCTTTCACCTCACATCTCTCCTTGTTAAAATAATCTCAACTCACCCACAGAGCTTAGTCTTTTTTTTTTTTTTCTTTTTTGAGACAGAGTTTAACTCTCGTTGCCCAGGCTTGAGTGCAGTGGTGCGATCTCAGCTCACTGCAACCTCTACTTCCCAGGTTCAAGTGATTCTCCTGCCTCAGCCTCCCGAGAAGCTGGGATTACAGGTGCCCGCCACCACACCTGGCTAATTTTTTTTATTTTTAGAGGAGACAAGTTTTTGCCATGTTGAAAAGGCTGGTCTCAAACTCCTGACCTCAGGTGTTCCACCCGCCTTGGCCTCCCAAAGTTCTGGGATTATAAGCATGAGCCACTGCGCCCAGCCACCTCTTACTCTTTTCATAATAACCACTGTTTCTCCTTTGTCCTTGGGCAGCTAGGTATCCTGAAAACACCCAACAGACATTCAGAACTACATCAGTATCTGTTTAAGGAAAATCCTCAGCTGCTTACATGGTAATGAAAGAGGTAAGGTAGAAAATTACTACTTGATAAGGCACTGTCAACAGTCTCTCCACAGGGGAAGGGAGAGGAGGTGAATCAGAGCACTGTGAAGCATGTTTATGCTTTTTCAGCCAAACCCCCTTGAACAGCATCTGTATTCCAATGCGGTGAAGCTATTTCAGCATCTGTCATTGCCCTGCTCCGCACCCACCACTCACTTGCCAAAACCTTAAAAGGTCTTTGGGATCCTACACATACAGCTAGTGCTCGACTTACGACCACGGTCGGGCCCACGGAACGGTCGTAACACGATTTTGGTCGTAAGTTGAGTAGGCTATAGGTACAGTTGAAATGGTGCATGCGGAGATGGTAGTGCTGCCAGAAGCTGGTCCGCACTGTCATACACCCAGCCGGGCAACGTTTGCGCTGCCAGACGTGGAGCAGTCGTGGCTAGTGATTGTGGTCATAAAGTCAAATGGTCGTAAGTTGCATAGGTCGTAAGTTGATCAGCACCTGTATTTAACCAAGATTTAAAATGCTCAGGCACCAAGTAGCCTCTGGTGGTGCTGTCTGGACACAGCTACAGCTGGTGAGCGCAGAAAGGGCTTCTTCACAGTGACTCAGATAAACAATATGCAAAACAGCAGCTAAGCCTCTGGCTCAAATTGAGCCATCAAGGCCAAGTCAAGGTAGTAAGACACAGCAACGTCACAAACCTTCGGCTATGGTGTCCTATGTAGGTGCAGGACTTCAGAGTAAGTCTTGCCAAAATGCACAACCTGGCCAGGTGCGGTGGCTCATGCCTGTAATCCCAGCACTTTGGGAGGCCGAGGCAGGTGGATCACCTGAGGCCAGGAGTTTGAGACCAGCCTGGCCAACATGGTGAAACCCCATCTCTACTAAAAATAATAAAAAATTAGTCAGGTATGGTGGCAAGTGCCTGTAGTCCCAGCTACTCAGGAGGCTGAGGCGGGAGAATGGCTTGAACCCAGGAGGCAGAGGTTGCAGTGAGCCAAGATCATGTCATTGCATTCCATCCTAGGTGATACAGCGAGACTCCATCTCAAAAAGCAAAAACAAAGACAAAACCAAAAAACAAAAATGCACAACCTCAGTCCAATCCTGAGAAAATATCACACAAACACAAAATGAGGGACATTTGACAACATAATTGTTTGATATTCCTCAAAGGCATCATGGTCATGAAAGACCAGGAAAAACTGAGGTACCATTACAGAGTGAGGAGATTAAGAAGACATGGCAATAAATGAGTGCTGGGTTCTGGAACACAAAGAGCACTTGATGGAAATTGGTAAAAACTGAGTACGGTCTTTAGCGTGTAATATCGTGACCAACATTAATCCCCTGGTTTGGATCATTGTGCTATAGTAATGTAAAACGGTGACATCAGGGAAAGCTGGATAAGAAATACATAAAAACTCTTCGTACTGTTTTTGCAATTTTTTTCTAAGTTTAAAATTAATTCAAAATAAAAAGTTTTTTTAAAAGGCTGCCACATCCAGGTTCCAGTCCCACCCTTCATTATGGGCCATGTCATCTCAGGAAATGATACAACTTCTCTAAGCCTCAGTTTCCTCACTCACAAAAGAGAATTGATGCCTTTATTTTTAAAATAAGAATAAAAATATATGCTAGTGTATGCAGGAAACACCCTGGAAGACTGGACACCAGGACACCAGGTGGATCTTCTCTGGGTCTGCAGCAGGCCATGGCTACCATCAGCGAGTTTAGTTCTCTATCTGATAATAATGAACTTTCACCAGTTTTGCAATCAGAAAAAAACAGATGTTAAAAATGATGTGACTCAGGAGGCTGAGGCAGGAGAATTGCCTGAACCCAGGAGGCGGAGGTTGCGGTGAGCCGAGATCGCACCATTGCACTCTAGCCTGGGTAACAAGAGCGAAACTCTATCTCAAAAAAAAAAAAAAAAAAATGATGTGACTCACACACACCCTGTTGTGTGGCCACACCTGACTGCAGCCCGTCCTTGCCGGCTCCCCCTAACACTCCTAAATTCACCTCTTCTCCCCACCTCCATGCCACCAGCCACGCCTCACCACTGAGCCTCACCTGGCTGGGCTCCCTATCCAGCCTCTTCTCCACAAGGCAGCAGAGTGATCCTGTTGGTGTGGCAATCCCCACACAGGGCGTGTAGACCCCACTCCTGGGGCCATCCTTCCCAACTCCTCACAGTCTCACTCCCCTGGGGCAGTTTCCTGGAGACCCACTTGCCCCCTTGCTTAGCCTCTGCAGTGCCCCTCCTCAGGGTAATCTCCCTGCCACCCCAGCTCCTGCTGCCAACCCCTGCTGGTGCTCCTCCCCAGTGCCCACTGGCTTACGTGCTAAACACCCTGTCTCCTCCACAGGACTGTGAGCCTCATGGCAGGCTCGGCCACCTATGCAGGGCCCAGGTGAGGAGGATTATGAGGCGCGGGGGTCCAGGAAGCTAGACAACCTGCTGTGCACAAAACGTGCTAGAGCAGGGTGGTCAAGGCACCTCCCTGGACTTCTCCTTCCCTTTGGTGGCACTGCTCTCTAAATGAGGGGATGGTGTCTGCATACAGAACAGAGGAGGCTTGCTATTCGTTTAACTTAATGAAGGAAAGTGAACGTGTGACTCACCAGTCCCAAACCAGGGTGTGTCCACCTTGGCACTATTGACACTTGGGGCTGATCATTCTCTCTCATGAGAAGGGAGGCTGTCCTGTGCACTATAGGGAATCCCTGGAATGCCCTCACCTTTGCCCACTCGATGCCAGTAGTACCCCCTCACCACAGTTTTGACAACCCAAAATATCCTAAGATGTTACCCAAATATCCCTGGGGCAGTAGCAAAATCATCCCGGTTGAGAACCCTTGTCCTAACTCTAAGTAAAGGACTGCAGAGAAGGGAGCCGGAACCTGGAGACATGACCAGACTCAGCTACAGCCACAAGGAGCCGCATTCAAACTGTGGTCTCAGTAGGGAGGCCAGCACCAGCTCACCCCACTGACCCTTGCTCACAACAGGTGCTAATTCCCAAAGTCCAGTGGTTAAAGTCCTGGGAGGCTGTCTATATAGCGGTAGGCCCAAAGGGTATAGCGGTGGGCCCAAAGAGAAGCCCCACATACCGCTCTTTTTTTTTTTTTTTTTTTTTTTTTTGAGACGGAGTTTTCACTCTTGTTATCCAGGCTGGAGTGCAATGGCGCGATCTCGGCTCACCGCAACCTCTGCCTCCTGGGTTCAGGCAATTCTCCTGCCTCAGCCTCCTGAGTAGCTGGGATCACAGGCACGCGCCACCATGCCCAGCTAATTTTTTGTATTTTTAGTAGAGACGATGTTTCACCATGTTGACCAGGATGGTCTCGATCTCCTGACCTCGTGATCCACCCGCCTCGGCCTCCCAAAGTGCTGGGATTACAGGCTTGAGCCACCGCGCCTGGCCAGCTCTTTTTACCTATACCCAATTTGAAGGGCTCCTCGTCACATGCTGTCCTTCATCCAAACATCAGGGAAGTTGTGAGAGGGACCTCACCTTTGGGGGCTTGAATGGGTAATCCGTAGGAAAGTGGATGGTCAGGAAGAAAACACCTCCTTGGTAAGGACTGTCATTCTGGAAGGATGAGACACGGAAAGAGATAAGTGCCTGTGCTAAGCCCACAGTGCAAGAAGCAAAACTGTAGCTGTGTGCTCAGCAGCTAGTACCTACCGGGCCCATGATGGTGGCCTGCCAGTGGAACACTGCAAGACAAAAGAGAAATGGGCATGTAAGAGATCCCCCAAGAAACATGTCTATCTACTGAAAATCCACTGCTAAATTACAGGGCACTGTCCACACAAGATGCCCTCCCTTCTGACACCAACTACGAATCGGGGTTCCCCAAACCACCTAAGACGCGCTAACTGCCTAGGAATCCTAGAGCTCACTGAAAGTGGCTGTGCTCATGACGGCCGGTTATTACAGGGAAACAGCATAGGTTAACATCAAGAGGGTCCAAACACAGAGCTTCCATTCTTCTTTCTCCGTAGAGTCGGGATATGTTACTCTCCTGGCATTGCTGTACAGCAACACACACAGAGCACTCCCAATCAGAGATGCTCACCGGAGCCTCAGTATTCAGAATTCTTATTGGGGCTCCTGAGAGCATGACTGACTGATTTGAGTGCCCACAGGGCTGATTTCAGGCTCCGGTCTCCAGCTCCTCCAGGTATGATCCAAGCCCCCACCTTATTTTATTTTATTTTTTTGAGATGGTCTGCCACCCAGGCTGATGGGCAGTGTCATCATTATAGCTCATTGTAGCCTCAAAGTCTGAGGCTTAAGCTATCCTTCTGCCTCAACCTCCCAGGAGCTGGGACAACAGGTGTATGCCACCACATCTGGCTAATTTTTTTACTTTTATTTTTTCATTTTTGTAGAGATGGGGTCTTGCTACGTTGCCCAGGCTAGGCTCTCACCTTAAACCACATGAGTGGTCCACTTGGTGTGGCCAGTCCTCACCCAAAATCACAGTTGGTGTGCCTCAAAGCTTCCAGCCAAACAAAGACACTCCTAGCAGGTATGATATCTTAGAGATTGCCCCCTAAGTGTTAAGAATGAAGGCTATTTTGGGGACAAGATTAAATTTTGTTGTTGTTGTTGTTTTGCAGAGATGGGGTTTCGCCATGTTGACCAGGCTGGGCTCAAGCAATCTGCTAGCCTCAGCCTCTCAAAGTGCTGGGATTACAGGCATGAGACATTGTGCTCAGCCAACATTAAGTTCTTTACTACACAAGTGCCAATAACCACAATTCAGTCAGTTCTTTGCACAGAATTAAGCCTTAGCTAGGCTTCAGCCATTTTCCTTATTGCTCTTTATAAACCCTCCTATTCCTTGGTTTCCCCTGATTCATTCTGAAGCCCTCTCCAAAGAGTCTCTCTCAAGAGCCAACCGCCCATGGCCCTGGAGCTTCACTGGTGCTGCCTCCATCTGAGTCCTCTCCTGGCCAGCCTCTGGGCAGTGCCCTATGCTCTAGGCACTCAGTAGCAAGATCACAATGAGCCCCTCTTGTACTTCCTTTCCAGGTTGCCACCCTTTGGTGGGGGTTTAGAACCTCCTCTTGCTGCACATCACATCCTACACCCTCTCCAGCATCTCAGGTGATTTTTACTGCTCTACCCATTCCCAGAACAGCTCCTGTGTATCAGCAAGGCTAGCCTAGTATGGCCCATACACCCACATCCAAGGCTCCCAAGTCATACAAATGGTCCCAGGGATACTGACTTGAGAGCCTTTGTGGAAAACGCCATCATCCAGTTGAGTTGCTGAGACCATCTGAAGGGCCTGTTATTCGCAGCAGAATTCTGTCTCATACGGGTTCATAGTAGGCATGGAATTAGCCCAGAGTTTCAGACCTGGTCCTGTCCTGTGTTTACTGTCACCTGTTGAAATACCCCACAGGCTCTACCCGACAGGAGGCCCAGGAAAGCACCAAGGTTTGGGGTAGAAGCATTAAGTGCAGGGACAAAAGGAGAAGTTTCCCAAGCCCCTGGAGGTGTCCAAAAGTAGTCAAGGCGGCCCATGAGCCCTTTTCAATATTTCAGAGAAATGGTGCTGCAGAGAATACCTTTACCTGTAATAAGGCTGCCTGAGTTCATGAAAATATCACATTTTTTTCTTTTGACTGTTTTTATGCCAATTAACGTTAATCATTAGTTGGCAGTAGATATAACTTTGTCCAATATTAATGTGAATGGAATCCTTTATTAAATAAAAGTGTTTTTGATAATTAATATAGTTCGGAACAGAAGGTTAGAATCCTCTGGTCTTGTTCAATTTAACCCTGAGGGCTGCTGGGACACTAAGCAGGGCTTGAGGGCGGAGTCAGAAGAGACGGCCCCCAAAGCCCCAAAAGCCGAAAGGAAACAGAGGAGGGATGCTGGAATCGGCTGTGTGCCCATAAGGCAGGTGTGAAATGGCCCCAAAGGCTAGCTTCCAATGCCTTCTAAACCTCATCCATTGAGGTCTGACTGTGGTAGGCGGCCTTGATGCTAGCCTCTCTTAGCACTGGGCTATGGTGCAAGGTAAATGTGAGCTAAGCTGAGCATCAAGGAGCTGCCTCTAGACAGCTAAGACGGAACAAGAACTAGTTCAAGCTTACAGCGACCCCAGTTTAATCTGATATGATCTTAAGTGACAGGTAAGAGGGGAAGCATGCTACAGAGACCTGGGGTGCTTGTGAGGACAACATGAGGTAACACTGATTAGTGGGGAGCAGTGATGAGCAGGTATCAGGAGACAGTGGAGCAGAGTTGTTCTCATTTCTTACACTCTGCACAGGCAGCTAGGAAACATTTCTGTTCTGCTCCAAAAACGAGATTTAAACTCCCACGTAAAGCCATTAGAGTCCTCAATTTTCAGTGGCTCCATCTGCCTACTCGTTGCTCCTCTAAGCTTGGTCCCCTCCCAGAACATGCAGGTACACATATGATACCACGCCCTCATTTTTTTCCAGCTTGGTAAAATTTATTTTTGTAGTAAAAAATATATAAAATATGCAATTTAAACAACTTTTAAATGTACAATTCTGTGGCATTATATGCCTTCACAATGCTGTAGAACCATTCCCACTATCCATTTCTAAAACTTTCCATCACCCCCAACAAATTCTGTACCCATGAAGCAACATTTCTCCCATTTCCCCTCCCGTCACCCTCACGTAATCTCTCATCTACCATCTGTCTCTATGAATTTGCCTAATCTATGTATTTCCTGTAAGTGGAATCATATATTCATCCCTTTCTTTCCCGCTTATTTCACTTAGCATGTTTTCAAGGCCCATCCATGTTGCACTGTGTATCAGAACCATACTTTGTTTATCTATCATCCACTGATGGGCACTTGGGTTGTTACCAGCTTCCGAAAATCATGAATAATAGTGCTGTGAACATTGGCATAAACATTCTATCTCAGTCTGTTTTTGATTCTTTGGTAGATGTACCTCTGACACCACTCTCCTTGAATACACAGTATCTCCCCTCCGTGCCTACTTTCCTATGGCTGCAGTTACTGAAGCCTCACTGGGAAGGAATGTGTCCCAGAGCCCAAGAAGCCCACAAAGTGGAGATAAGGTGAGTGGGCAGAGGATGGACCTGGAAACCCTAATGCTGGGCAGCTCAGCCTCTGCCAATACCTCTGAGGGATGGCAGAGGCCTGGCACAGGCAGTGCTGCTTCTCCCTCTCTCTCCCCAGAGCTGTCTAGAGCTGCTTCTTAGTCTCCCCCAGGGAAGAGCAAAAGTGAGAGAAAAGAATAGGGATTGTCCTTCCCTTTGGCAGAGGCAGAGGCAAGTGGCCACTGCCCTACCCTGCTCTGCCCCTCATTCGCCATCCTGCTCTGCTCCCAGGAGCTGCAGCACCACCAGGCCCTCTAGAGCAACTCCAAAAATATTTACACCAGCACCCAAGTTTGACTTGGTCAAGGGCACTTTCCAGCAGCCGATGTGACTCCTCAGGGCAAGCTGGCTTTCTCATGCCCCAGAAGAGAGAAGTGGTGATTATGGGAAATGAAAGGCAATGCAGGTACTACTCTGAGTATAACCTGACCAGTCAAGCTACTGTGAACTCATGGCCTAGACCTCAAATGAAAAAGCAAATGAAGGGAACATGACATTGGTTTTCTTAAACACTGCTTGACCGATAAATTTGGGTTTTTTTTTTTCTTTTTGAGACAGAGTCTTGCCCTGTTGCCCAGGCTGGAGTGCAATGGCATGATCTCGGCTCACTGCAACCTCTTCCTCGTGGGTTCAAGTGATTCTCCTGCCTTAGCCTCCCGAGTAGCTGGGATTACAAGTATGAGCCACTATGCCTTGCCTAAATTTGGGGGTCTTAATTACAATGCTCCTGCAACCTGAAGCCCCCAAAAATACTTACAGTCATCACCTACAGGTCCCGCAGAACACTGGGCAGGAGGATCCCTCTGCAAGTCGGTTAATTCCTAGAACATGAGATAGTGGGTCAGAGCTGCTGTGCATGGGGATGCTGCCTCTACACACCAATCTTGGTAGCTGGAAGGAATTCTCCCGGTGGGAGGAGGCTCCTAGGCCTCAGGAGGGAGTTAGAGACAATGTGGGTCATAGAAGTCTACTCCCTGCTATAAAGATACCAGAGAAGTAGGTATTATCATTTCCATTTTATACATTAGAAAATTGAATTGTAAAAAGATGAAGTTACCTACTCAAGGTACAGAGCTGGAAGACAGCAGGGTAAGAAGTCAGTCACAGGTAGCTCTGCCCTGCCCCCAAGCCTGGCCTCCCACCTGATCAGGTAGAGGACATCCCCAGGCCCCCAGGTGCTCAGGATATGGAAGAAAAACAGCCCAGGAGAGGGTTCTGGGAGGATAGGTGCCAGGTTTTACTGTAGGCTAATGAATTAATGCATGGAAGCAGTTAGTACCAAGAAGTGTTCCTCTCTCTACTTTACCTCCCCAACCACCATTCCAATCACCCTACTCACCACTGGTTAAGTGGTGAGCCCTAGGGCTCTGAACGTGGAGACTTTGGCACGTAAGCCAAAGTCTAACAAACACTACCCCAGTGGGGATCAGGGACTACACCACAACTAGATTCCCTTTATGGGACACCAACTCTGGCCATAATCCTTTAAAGTGATCCTGGTCTGGCATGAGCCTCAAGGCCCAAGATTTTGGGCAGTGACTCTCAAACTTCAGTTTGCATGGGGCTGGGTACATGCCTATAATCCGAGCACTTTGGGAGGCCAAGGTGTAAGGATCACTTGAGCCCAGGGGTTCAAGACTAGACTGGGTAACCTTGTGAGACCCTATCTCTACTTAAACAACAACAACAACAAAAGCCCAGTGAGGCTGGAGCTTCAGTGAGTTGTGATTGTGCCACTGCACTCCAGCCTGGGCGACAGAGTGAGACCCTGTCTCAAAAAAAAAAAAAGTTACATGAATGAGGTTTCCTAATACAATACGCCCTATTCTTCCCGGGTTCCAGATCTTAGTAAATTCCTTGGGTTTCCACAGGTTCCGAAAGGAAGGAAGGAGGTACAAGCAACAGTGTATCATGCATCGTGTGGCAGGGAAACTCCTCAGGGACCTGGCATGTGCACAAAGTTCACACCTGGCTAATGACATTCCTCTTTCGCTGAACTAAGCCAAACACCGTCCTATCTACACAAACTCTCCTGGTTTCACCATATGTCTCTGGACATGCTAATCATTTCAGTAACCACCTCTCTGGCCATCCTGCATTTATCTCCTTCACTTCAAATTTAATCAACCAAGATGGAAGTATTAACATCACAAAAGCCAGCAATGATACAAATCAGGGCCATATTTTCTCCCCAAGAGTTGATCTTGAAACATCTGCCAGTATACCACTGGCCAATTCTCAATTAGTATCTAATATATCTGAACACATTTCCTCGTAAGTAAAATGAATGATACTTTGCAAGCACTCAGGAAGTAGCATCAGGAGTGGTCAAAAGAGAATTTAACTTGGGGAACAACTGCAGTCAGACAAGGGGACCAAGGACAGGCTCAGAAATGCAAGAGCTACAGAAATCAGCTGTTTGTGTGGCTCACACTTATAATCCCAGCACTTTGGGGGCCTCAGGCAGGTGGATCGCCTGAGGTTAGGAGTTCAAGACCAGGCTGGCCAACATGGTGAAACCCTGTGTCTACTAAAAATATAAAAAAATTAGCTGGGTGTAGTGACACATGCCTGTAACCCCAGCTACTCGGGAGGCTGAGGCAGGAGAATTGCTTGAACCTGGGAGGTGGAGGTTGCAGTGAGCAAAGACCACGTCACTGCACTCCAGCCTGGGCGACAGAGCGAGACTCCATCTCAAAAAAAAAAAGAAAGAAAGAAATCTCGGCCGGGCGCGGTGGCTCAAGCCTGTAATCCCAGCACTTTGGGAGGCCGAGGCGGGCGGATCACGAGGTCAAGAGATCGAGACCATCCTGGTCAACCCAGTGAAACCCCGTCTCTACTAAAAATACAAAAAATTAGCTGCGCATGGTGGCACGTGCCTGTAATCCCAGCTACTTAGGAGGCTGAGGCAGGAGAATCGCCTGAACCCAGGAGGCGGAGGTTGCGGTGAGCCGAGATTGCGCCATTGCACTCCAGCCTGGGTAACGAGAGCGAAACTCTGTCTCAAAAAAAAAAAAAAAAAAGAAAGAAATCTCTGCAGAACAGTTCCTTTTTGCTTACCTCTCTGCTATGTGCCCCTCAGGACCTCCATTATCACTGTGCAGGGGAACTGTTTATATCCATTGTGACACTGCATGAATGAATGAGCTCTATGACAGAATGGTTAAGGCAAATCCTAAATATGTTATGTGAGCAGTCAGGGGCAGGAAAAGCCAGCAGTACAGGCCAATTCCCCTCCACCTCACAAGGTTTTCCCATACTTCTATGCTTTTGCACTGCCAGTATGCAGAATCCATGTCCCTCCTTTAGAGGTGTGATGAACAGTTACACCAGCACTTAATGATCCCTGAAAGGCCACATGTGGATCTCTAGTGATAGACTCCAACCAGCACCTAGGAGTTTCGAATGCTAACTGGCATTTCAAGGAGGAATGGTGCGACTTAAAAGAAACTGGTCCACTCACACATCGAATTCCTGTGCTCACCTCATAGGGTTAGAAGACTCAGGTCTGAGTCCCAGCTCTGTCACTGAGGAAACCACTTTCACCTCTTTGGGCCTCAGTATAACCATCTGTTAAGCTGTAATCATACTTGCCTGCCAACTTGCTGACACTATTGTGTGGCTACAAATTTTGTATATAAATTTTTAATGTATATAATGTAAGCAAGTGCACTCAATAAATATTAAGACAACAGTGGTATAGCGGATGCTACAGTTAGTATTATAAAAAGGGAGTGGAATAAGTAGAATATATATATATATTTCTAGAGGAATACTTTGACACTGGTTGCCCTCCCCCAGAAGAGGAATTGGATGGCTGGCTACAGTCTTCGGTGGGAGACTTTTCCCTGTATATCCTTCGTACTTTTTGAACCATGGGAATTTATTACCAAATAATTAGATATACAAATAAAATATTTTATTAATTGTAAAGGGTTAAGTAGATTAAGTTTATAATTATTATTACAAGTAACGATGATAAAAGTGGGAAGTCCCGAAAAAAAGAAAGTATTGAGTGTTAGTAGAGAAGAGTGAAGCAAACCATGGTACACACTCAGTTATTCCTTCACTGTGTTTCATCAACTCCAAGACTCCATCCTTTGTAAGACACATATTTTTAATTTACATACACTTAAGAAGAAAAAAAACATGCTAGCAAATAAACTAACACCAAATCCTTTCTTTGCACATATACTTTATTTAAAAATTACTTTTATCAGGCTGTGTACAGTGCCTCATGCCTGTAACCCCAGCACTTTGGGAGGCCAAGGCAGGTAGATCGCTTGAGGTCAGGAGTTCAAGACCATCCTGGCCAACATGGTGAAACCCTGTCTCTACTAAAAATACAAAACTTAGCTGGGCGTGGTGGCACATACCTATAATCCCAGCTTCTTAGGAGGCTGAGGCACAAGAATTGCTTTAGAGGGTGACATCATGGACAGGGCAGAGCATCTGGGGTCTGCTGGGAGCCTCCAATCCCCAACAGTTTTGCAGGACACTGATATCTATGGACTCTAAAATGGACTTAACTTAAAGAAACTCATGGACCATTAATGGACAAAAACATCAATCAATACATATTGTGGTATTCAAATACTAGCACTTCAGGAGATCATCGAGAACCACGTTTTTTTCAAGACCCTGGCCTATCATCATCATGCATTCAAGATTTGAGTTTGAATAACTTCATTAAGACTGAGATCTTCAGGCCGGGCGCGGTGGCTCAAGCCTGTAATCCCAGCACTTTGGGAGGCCGAGGTGGGTGGATCACAAGGTCGAGAGATCGAGACCAACCTGGTCAACATGGTGAAACCCCGTCTCTACTAAAAATACAAAAAATTAGCTGGGCATGGTGGCGTGTGCCTATAATCCCAGCTACTCAGGAGGCTGAGGCAGGAGAATTGCCTGAACCCAGGAGGCGGAGGTTGCGGTGAGCCGAGATCGCGCCATTGCACTCCAGCCTGGGTAACAAGAGCGAAACTCCATCTCAAAAAAAAAAAAAAAAAAAAAAAAGACTGAGATCTTCAAAAGCTTCAAGTCTCAACTGCATTAAAGCTCTCTCACAAAAGTACTAGCTTAAAGGGACTAAAATCCATTAATGCATTCCCTTTATATCCCTTCTTCTGACTTCTCTTCAATTTCCTTGGCCTCTTGGGTCTTTTACATTGCTTATGTTCCTTTATACTAGATGCAAAGAGACAGTGCTTTCCAGAAAGACGGGTTCTGTGGCCATAAGTTTTCATTGGTCAAGAAGCATAAATTTAGCATGATGAATTTAGAATTAGGTCTTTTATCGTATCCTATAAAAAGTTGAATTAACAATAAGAAAATGAGGATGAAGCAGTAAAAATATTTTGGGTTAGATTATACTCTCAGAAGCTATGTGGTTTAGAGAAAAGAGCCCCCAACCTAAAAGTTAATAGTCCCTATCCTGTCTCTGCCTCGTACTAGGTATATGGTAACTGAGAAAGTCACTTAACCCCTGAACCTTAACTTCACTATCTATAAAGTGAATCTGATATTTTCCCCCACCTACCTCACAGGGTTGTTGTGAGGATCAAGTGAAATAATGTACATAAAAAGACACATATAAAATGTGTAATACAAGGCGGGGTGTGGTGGCTCACGCCTGTAATTCCAGCACTTTGGGAGGCCGAGGCGGGGCGGATCACCAGGTCAGGAGATGGAGACCATCCTAGCCAACATGGTGAAACCCTGCCTCAAAAAAAAAAAAAAAGTGTAATACAGACAAAGGGTCCTGTTACATAGTACAAGTCAATCCCTCAGATCTTGGGCCTAGGAAGGTAGGTGATTTAAGCTC